TACAGGGACAGGATTAGTTCTTTGACAGTACCATTAAAAATTATTTTGGAAAATATTAACATGCGGAAAGTTCAAGATGAATGTATATAGTAAATCCTTTGTTACGTATAAACTATAACTTTTTGTTATGTATAAACGTGTACACACAATCCATCTCCATATCTAGCATATGCAGATACACAGATATAAGAAGAAAAAAAAAGTCTGAAAGAACATTTACTAATATGTCCAGGGATTAGCTGAGTGATGGGACCAGTGTTTATTTTTTGTTTTTCATCCCTTTATGCTTTTCAGCGTGTGTGCCTGTGTGTGTGTGTGTGTCAGGGTGAGGGGTTGGGCGGCAGGGAGAATGTTGAGGAAGGATCGTGGCCTCTTTAACGGAGCTGAATTAATATTTAGCGAAGGAAGTGACTCATCTTCAATCTCACAGTCCACAAATCAGAAAAGCGGATTAATACATAGTAGGCACGGAAAACACATGTTAAATGAATAAAATCTAACGGAAAAGGGTGGAAACTTCACTCTGATTTATCAATTTTTTAGAAAAAGAAGTGACAGAGATTCAGGATAGGAGACCATCCAGAAACGAGGCCCACTGCTACCGCCACATCACGTTGCGTGGCACCGCCCACCCCGACAGCCTTTAGAATCTTCAGCAGAAAGTCGATGACGTCACATAAGGTTTTCGGTGAGGATGGGAATTGGTCCTAAGACTTCTGGGAAATGTAGTCTGGGCGCTGTGACGACTGCGAGTCTCCGAGGTTTCTGGGAATTGTAGTTCTCAGATGTAGGATCAGCTCTTTGGCCGATCTTGCTTCAGAGCGCCCCCGGGGAAGCGGGAAGATGGCGTCTGGGGTGGTCGCAGGACCCCATCCGGTGGTTCTAGGAGTGGCCATCGCAGCCTTGATGAGGGGAACTGGAGCACACAACGGTCACCATAAAAGTCCGGGAGCACAGCCAAAGCGCAGAGCTCTGAGGCTCTTACCCCCGCGGTGGTCTTCGCACTCACGCGCCTCCTCCCCTACCCGGGTTCCCGAGGAATGGCCTAGGCGTCCGGACGTGCGAGGACAGGGACGGCAGCTGGCCTCCGCGGGAGCCACCTACAGGCCTCGCAGAAGAGGGCCCACGCTGAGCGCCTAGATGTGGGCTCCGTGCAAGGACGGAGATTATTTTGAAGACATTGTTCAGTGTGAGCCGAGTCACAGTGCTTTTGGCTGCATTGGAAAACCCTCTGTTTCTCCTTAGAATAAAGCTCCCCACTCCAGATCGCTCTTAGCTTCTGACCCGATTTCCCCACCAGAAATCCCAAAAGTTTTTGGTTCCAAATCGACTTTAAAGATGCAAGTTAATCATATCAGGCGTTCAGCTTTTTAATGTTTTGTAGTCATGGCTAACTGCTGAGTGTGTATCAGAAATTCCTCCCTCCATACCCTAGGTAGCTTACAGGAAAGTTAACAACAGCAATTAAGGAAGTGCTGGTCTCTCTTCTTCCTTGCCCGTATCTAGTCACCAGTTTCATAGGATCCTTACTTTATACTGTCTCCTCATCTGACCACTGCTCTGTTCCACAATACCACTATTCTAATACTTCAGCTTCTCACCTAGTTTCTGCGTGCTGTCTCTCTCATTTCCAAACCACCTTGTCTCCTCTACCAAATTAATCTTCTCCCCGAAACCAAATTTTTATTACCATGATCAAAAACCTCCTGTAATTCCCTCATTGCCTAAATGATTAAATCCACACACAAGCTAGTACTCAGGGCAGCCACTGTCTAGTTATCCAATTCCAAATAAACTTTCTTATTTTTATTTCACTGAACTCCCTGCCATAGACAGTCCAGTTCATCTATTGGAACAAACAGAGCATTTTCCTACCTCTATACCTTTACTTACACAGTTCTTTCTTTCCCAGATCTTGCCAGGGCCCAGCTTAAGAGATCCAGTAGTGGGGTCAAATCCTGATCCTTGGGTAAGCTATTTAACATCTGTAAATTTCAGTTTCTTCATCCCATAATGTGGTAAATTAAGAGACTCAAATGTGTGAAAAGAGCTTTTCTTCTGGCACCCAGTAATTACTTGATTATCTCTACCCTCTGCTCCTTCTAACCCCACTCCACCCCAAGAAGAATCTTTATATTTGCCTTTCTGAGACTTCTACTATGAACTAAATATTTATTCACTGGAAAACATACTATATGCTAGGTGTTGTAGAGAACACATAATTTAATTTTAATTTTTTGTTATCAAGCACATTGTATAATTACATGAAGGCCAGTGGAGAAATTCATCTTAACTCTATTAGGCTTTCCTTGAAGAATGGACATTTTCTACCCTTCCAAATACAATGTAAGCAAATGACCATCTCACTTTCATACCTGAATAACTGTCTGGCATACCATAATTTGTCATGATCTTGATCTTCTAGGCATTTTCTTCTTTAATACCGATTTGTATTTTTTTCAGTTTTGTATTTTATCATATCTTGTAAGCCGCCTTGAGTCATTTTTGACACACAATAGAGTTATAATAAAATAGATGACAATTGTCTGTGATGGCAGAAGAAATATCTTCTTACTTATTTGACTGTGATCCTAGTTTTCCATTCTGTGGAGTTACAGACGCTTTAGGGATGAAATGAAAGACTACAGGCAGATATGAAGGAATAGAATCATAACAATTAGCATTTATTGAACACTCACTATATGTCAGGCACTGTTTTCATCACTTTATATGAATAAACCCACATACTCCTTAAAACAGTCTCATGAAGTGGAAAGCCAAGAGGCCAGCATCCCAGGAGCTCTGAAGGAGAGTCAGTCCCGAGGCTTAATGTATATAATTCAAGGTAGGACAAAAAGGACCAAAATATTTATGAGGTAATCTCACCATTCAAAAGAGTAAAGTGACTGCATTATTATATTAAACCCTCCTGATTTAGATTAAAACTACAATCCAGGCCTGCATTGTACTATGTATTAGATGGGGCTTCTAAGAGATTTAAGACAATTTCTAACTTCAAAAAAGTTCATGGAAAAAAGCACCTGACAGAACAAGAGAACAGAATAAGAAAGTATGTAATACAGGAGAATAAGGCAAACCGTCACTGTAAAGGACTCCTAAGAAGAGGGGGGGGCGCTGAAATTATCACAGAGGAGGCAGGACCTGACCAGGGCCTTTTATAAAGTATGGATAGATTTCTGGAGATACAGGGAGGAGAGCAGGGTATGTAAAAGGGTGCCATGGAATAGTATGAAGCAGAGCCAAGTGTGAAGAGAAAGGGTGTCGTAGAGACAAAGGACAGGGCTGCCCAGTTGTACTGGGGAGTAATGGAAAATAAGTAAATAGATCCAACTGTGCAAGGTCTTCAAGTTAAAGCACTTTGAACTTTTTCCTTGAGACAAAGGGAAACTGTGGATTCTTTCTGAACCAAGTGGTAGTCTAGTCAGGCAGCTATATAAAGACTGGGAGACAAGAGCAGCGATGATGTGTTTACTCTGGTAATCTAGGCCCAAACTACTGAGGACTTGGCAGCAGAGTAGGAATAGAGAGAAAGAAATCAACTATCAAGACATTTCAAATAAATCCTAGCAGACTGATTACCCAGGATAGATAAAGAGGAATCAGTAAGCAATAATTATGGGGCATTTAGTGACTACTCAGCACTGTGTGATGTTTTATAGGGATCTAAAACAAGATTTCTGTTTTCAAGAAGCTTACAATCTAATTGAATAACGTGAAGTACTTATAAGCCAATAAAATGAAATTATTCTGGCCCAACTCTTGCCCAAAGTCAGAGAGCTGATCATTGTTTTTTTTTTTTTTTTTTTTTTTTTGCGGTACGCGGGCCTCTCACTGCTGTGGCCTCTCCCGTTGCGGAGCACAGGCTCCGAGGCCATGGCTCACGGGCCCAGATACTCCGCGGCATGTGGGATCTTCCCAGACCGGGGCACGAACCCGCGTCACCTGCATCGGCAGGCGGACTCTCAACCACTGCGCCACCAGGGAAGCCCCAAGATCATTGTTAATCAGAGAAGTGCTGGGAGGTAGGAAAAGTGTGGATCAGCCCAGAATAATGGATCCCAGAAGATCCCAGAAGAAGTTTTAAGGCATAGGAGTGGCCAAAAGTACCAATTCTGCAAATGTCAAGTAGGAAAAGGACTGAGAAAGAGGCACTGAGTTTGTCTTTGACAGATCAACTTAACAAGGCTGGTGAGAGTCAAAACCAGACGGTGTATGTTTCATGAAGTCTGTAAACAAAAGAAAAGTTTTTAAAATTGGACAGCAATTTTTAAAAAGATAATGGAGGAACTAAGATTTTTAGGACCTTCTTGGTAAGGATAAGATAAAATAACACTGGGATTAGTTAGGCATATTAGAACTATGGGCTATACTTTGAGGAAACTATGCTATAGCAAAAAAGGTAAGGGAGGGAGGAAGAGAAAAATTTGTCCATATAATTCGAGACTGAATTTTTTATCCCCAAACTGGTGGGAATTTTTTGTCCTAATCTGAAGCCAGCTCCTTCTCTTCTGCTACTGGAGCCAGCAAGCATGAAAATACACACACATGGGATTTCCTCTTTTAAGTGAAGGAGCTGATGTGGTTGGGAAACTGGTTGTTCAGGGACCCAAGCTCCATGGAATAGATAAGGTGAGGAACTGCAAGGTGTTAGGTAGCTGTATATTCTAAGATTGGAGCCCTCCAGAATATTAGAGTGAATATATTAGGTTTTAAAATTCATCCCCTTGTTGGATTGATCACTCATTTGAGCATTTAGTTTACGAAAAGGAGGGAAGGCTAGCTTGAAACTGGCTTAGAGCTAGCTAGTAGGAAGGAAAATTCAAACAAGTATATATGTTTCTTTTCAGCTGTGGGAGGTTATGCTGTGTGCTTTTGTGCTAACATTAAGGAAAGCACAGATATTACTCTTTAGTGTGAAGTTGATGATGTCTGATGAGAGATGAACTCTGACTGAAGGCTTTCCCACAGTTATTACACTTTTAAGGCTTCTCTCCGGTATGAGTTCTCTGGTGAATAATAAGGGAGGAGCTCCGACTGAAGCCCTTTCCACACTCTCTACACTCGTGGGGCTTTTCTCCAGTGTGTATTCTCTGATGTTCAACAAGGGATGAGCTCCGACTGAATACCTTGCCACAGTCACTGCACTCATAGGGGTTCTCCCCAGTGTGTGTTCTCTGATGTTCAATAAGAGATGAGATCCAACTGAAAGCTTTTCCACATTCACTGCATTTATAGGGATTCTCTCCAGTGTGTATTCGTTGATGCTGAATTATGGTTGAATGGTCACTGAAGGCTTTCCCACATTCATTACATTTGTAAGGCTTTTCTTGAGTATGAGTTCACTGATGCTGACTAAGGTTAGTGCTTTGGCTAAAGGCTTTTCCACATTCACTACATTCATATGGTTTTTCTCCAGTATGGATCCTCTGATGTAGACTAAGGTGTGTACTCCGGCTAAAAGATTTTCCACATTCACTGCATTCATAAGGTTTCTCTCAGGTGTGAGTTCTTTGATGTTCAATAAGGTGTGTACTTCGGCTAAAAGGTTTACCACATTCATTGCATTCAAAAGGCTTTTCTCCACCATGAATTCTACTGTGGACAATAAGGTCTGATTGGTAACTAAAGGCTTTACCACATTCATTGCATTTACAAGGTTTCCTTTGCAGAAAGAGTTTTTGGTGTTTAATTAAGCCTGAATTATCTTTGGAGTTTTTCCTAGATATGGGGGACATAGCTCCCTTTGGAATTTTCTGCAGTGTATTAAGCTTTGAGCTTAGACTAAATTCACTGGATTCAGGGCCTCTCTCCCTAGTGAAAATTTCCTTGAGGGTCATTGACACTTTTCTGATTGCTGTTTCCTCAAAAGAAGATTTCTTCTGTGGAGAACAATTTGTCTGCCTTGATAACTGGCCCTCACTTTTACAGGCTTCTTCATTCATAGGACGTTGGGCAGTATTCCTTTGGAGACTTTCCATTGCTGACCCTGAAAACTCTAGTTCTTCAGAAATAGCCTGATTGTTGTTGATGATTTTGTTCAGTTCAAATATCCCTATCTGAAAGACATTTAAAGTGCAAATGTCTCCTGTGTCTAGTGTGGAGAGCAAGGAAAATAAACCAGCAGGAAAACAAGACAACTAATTTGCAATTCATGCACACTAGCAACTTTATATGGGCAGAAACTTAAAAGGGACAATGAAAGAGAATTGAACAAGGCCAGAAGTGATAACAGAGTTTTCACAGTGGATGCACAGAGACATCAAGAAATACAGGTAGGGGCGTGGGTAATATGCTGAGCCCCCAAAATGGACATGTGCAGATATACCAATTGATGAGCAGAGAACAGTGGATTAGAAAGTAAAATGAGCTATTAGCTATTGTAGCCAATTAGTTATGGTAAATGAGAGACAGGAAAGGGATGAGAAAAGTAGATTCTCAAATATAGAAAACATAACCACCACCACCCCTGCCAAAATGCAAAAAGTGAGGAAGACTCTATCAAGCTTGGATGCAACCATTTTCTTGGCAAAGAGAGAAAACAGAATTTCAGAAATGCTAACTATTACCCTGCTATCCCCATTTGATCTCCCTTTGATCCCCCAACCCTTCTTCCAGCTAGTTTAGGTACTCTTCTAAACAAGTCTACAACCACAGACTTCAGAGGATTAACAGAGCTCATCATAACAGATCTTAACTTAGAGTTCATCAAGGCCAACTTGCTTATCTGACAGATAGAAAACAGAGTGAGTAACTTAAGTCACCCAGCAAATTGCAAGAGCTTAGACTAGAACTCATGTCTTCAAAATTTCAAATTAGTGGCCTTTTCATGATACTACTCACCTAGACAGATATTTTTGGTCACTCCCCTCTTCAGCTCCCTGAAGATCCAGTGTCTACAGTTGTTCTTTCTCCAACTGGGTGATCGTGTCCAATTCACATGCTGGGATCCCTGTTGATTGTAAATGATTTAACACAAGGCTATTGGTGCTGGAGACACAGGGCTATTGAGAGCTCAACATTAATGCTTTGATCTATAGAAAAGATAGTGTGTGGGAATTCCCTGGCGGTCCAGTGGTTAGGACTCTGCACTTTCACTGCCGAGGGCCTAGGTTCAATCCCTGGTCGGGGAACTAAGATGCCACAAGCCACACGGTGCGGCCAAAAAAAAAAACCCAAAACAAACAAACAAAAACCACAGTGTGCATTTTTAGAGGCTGTGGCAGGAGGGGCTGGAGAAAATGGGTATATGAAAGTTCTGGGCTAAAACTGGTTCCAAAAGAAAGGTTATACACATACCCATCAGAATCACTTATGGAACTTGTTACTCTAGATACTGGGCATTACCTCAGACCTAGCTAAGTACAATGAGGCCCAGGCATTTGTATTTATTAAGTTCATATGACTCGACAAGTTGAATTGTCCAAAATGAACCTTAGAAACACTCTCTAGGTTGCCTGAAAAATGTGTTCACTGGGACCAGCCTTTCTACCAAACATTCTTCTCACAGCCAGAGGGTCTAAAACATAAACTCAGCTTCCCTTAGGACAGGTGACCTCTTCCTTCTGCTGGAAGGGCCAACACTTCCCAAGGATCTCAAGGTTTCTAGGTATTAGGCAGCTAGCTTTCCCAGACAATTCCTGTAAAAAGCTGGCACCCCACATTCGGACTGTACCAAGCAGTCTGTTTATCTCCCCACTCACAAGATTGTTCTAACACTTGCCTTATAATAAGGAAGAGCAGCAAGGCCCTCTCCTAGAATACTGACCCACACTGCGTGTCTAGAAGAGCATCCTGGCTCTGGCAACCTTTCTGTTGGTAAAATGGGGAGGATATGGGAATCTGTGCCTACTCTTCCAGCCCTTCTCTGGACTCTATGTTTCCCCACTGAAGTTTTTTCTTTAACCCATTTTCTTGTAAATTCATTCAGAGCCCTTGGACATGACAGTAGGCAACAAATTGTATAATAGTTCCCCTAATGTTTCTGCTCACAGCGCAATTTAAGATCCACTAGGTTAAGAGTTGATCTGGTTTCACAAGTCTTGCCTTTCTCAGAGACTGGGAACCTCCCACATGTGGAAATGAATCCTGGAGGATGTTCACGAAGAAGCCATCCATGGAGAACCTCAAGAGCAACATGACGATGCTGTCTGTGTCCAGCTTTGCCAAGAACTTGCCTTTCAACTGAAAGCAGGGAATGCAAAACTACTACTGGGTTGACTGAGAAGTCAGAATTTCTAATTTATTTAGAACCCTGCAATAAAATCCAGTTGCATACTTTTTGGCGCTAACATTCCTTAGTAGGCATTTGTCTACTAAGGTTGGCTGTCTGCTTAGGTTGGCTGGCCTACATTCTTGCAGCCCAGATCCTTAAGCTACTCCATCATTATTCTGTTGGCAGTTCACTGTTACTTCTCTCCTCTATTACAGTAATCCTCAAGGCAGCAATATCACCTCCTGGGGAGAGTTTTGGGAATTTGTGAGAGTTTGTGTGTGTGGTTTTTTTGTTTTGTTTTGTTTTGGTTTTGTTTTGGTTTTGGTTGTCATGTTGATTGGATGGGGCTATTAGAATTTAGTCGGGGCCAGGGATTCCTGTAAAACAAAGAATGTCCCTTATCCTGCCAGACTTTTGAAAGAGTTGTTAATGGTTACCTGAGACTGGAACTACTTTACAAATAAATACAAAGTATTTTGCACAACTTTGCTATGTATTGGAAAATCAAGGAAATATACTTCTTTTTCTTTGAATGATATTCGGAATTGTTCGCCATTTTAGGAAAATCAAGCCACTCATGATATTAGATTCACAAATACAACATTCACATAACAGTCTGCATTTGTAGCTGTTGTATTCACATGATTCTATGAATAGGTACAAGTGTCTATTTCATCCAATCATTTACATGCTGAAAAACTATTATTCTATTATAAATTACTTTCCTTTTCTTTCTCCTTTATATTACAGTTAAGGTAACATAGTGATATTCTGGAAATTATATCTATAGGTAGTTAATATTATCTATAAATTTTATTTCAAGATAGTAAAGGGGATGGTAGGTTTAAAAGGTAGAGAATTACTTCTCTAGTGCAATGGAACTAAAGTATTAACAGTTACACAATAGACAAAGAGTGACTGTCTCAGGCGGTAAATTGCAAAGCCTCTAAAGCCTTAAAGCAAAAGTCCTTGTCCCCAACAGAAGTCCTTGAAGATCTGAGAACACCCACACTGCCATAAAGGTGACATAGGAACAGTGAGAATTTTGTACATAGTGGAATATTATTACATTATTACATATTACATTCCATCTTGGAGAAGAGATATTGTTGAGAAGAGATTTTGTTCAGGTTTTTGGAGACAAAGGGAAACCAGGAAGATCTGAAATGTGAAGATCTTTATAAACTGACTCACTAGAACCATTAAAACATAGGACATCTAAAAGTAGGCAGGATCTCCTGAACAGAGAGAGAACTAGGACAGAGTTCAAAGGAGAGAGCCAATTTGAAGTTGAGGGTTTACTCTCATGCTTATTAATACCTTGATGATTGGTAAAATATGCCAATTTGATATAAGATAATTATAATTTAATGTGTATATAGTGTGCAGTACAAGAGTCCCAAGATGTAGTTGTTTTTGCATTTCAAATAAGCTCATGACATGTGTAACTGTATTATGCATTATGTGTTTGTATATGTGACACCTATGACAGACACACAGAAACCACATTGGGGAAAGTTTCTACATTAAAAAAAAAAGAAGCCAACTGTGAAAGGAACGTGAGTTGGAGGTGCAGCCTCTGGAAAGGCCCTTTTTTGGTCTTTTCTCTTGGGTCTGCCTGCTCTAAGCATTTTATGAATACGGACTCATTTTTGTCTCACAACAATGAGAGGGTTACTATTATTATTTCCACAATACAAATGAAGAATTTGAGGTACAGAAAGGATAAGTAATTTGGCCCAAGGCCAAGTGATAAATCCTGGACTCAAACTCACTACACTACATCATACTTACTACTTCTCAACAAGCAGGGAAAGAACACTTGAGTCATGCTTTCCATTCATATGGCCTCCAAAGGGCCAAGAAACTAAACCACTGATCCCAGGACACCAGCATGACCTTGACACAAGAGTGACTACCTCTGAGAGATGACTATCCTGAGAGGCTGCAATAAGTCCCAACTACACTAAAAGCCCTATCTGGGTAAACTAAGGATTAAATTTCCTGGCTTCCACTAAAGTGCCACCACAAAGCAAGTGGCATCCTTGGCATAAATCAGTGAAACACCAAATAGAGGCCCCGTGGTATAAATAATTACTTGGTATTACATTTACCAAGTAATCTGGATTTTGATCATAGCTCTGTTGGTAGCTAAATAAAAACCAAGGAAAAATAACAAGTGTGGTTTTATGTATCCTCATCTGTAAAAGGAAGATGTTGGACTTGATTAGTCCAGAGCTGTCTGATTCCTGGAATTTAATTTTAGATTCCAAACTCTGAGGCACAGACCCATCTGCCTAGACTAAGGGGATAAGACTAGAATGAACAGACTCTTTTTCAAATCCCCAGAGACATGTGAGAGCCTAAGGTCCATGTTTCAGAGGAAACTGAGAAAGAGGCCAATCACCTAATGCTGAAATAGAGCAAGGGAGTGCTGAGGAAGACATCAAAAGCAGTCAGCAGGCAACCAGGGACTAATCCCATACTGGGCAAAATTTGCCACACTCACCTAAGATATGGTGGATATGACAAAGTTCTCAGGAGGAGCCCCCAGATATATTTCAGAGAGGCTAGGAGGTCTCTGTCTCCACAAGGTTAGGACCATACCCTTATCCAGGTTTCATACAAGGGGTTCCTCCACCATGATGTGGAATGTTGCCCCTCCTTTTCTCTTTTTCTCTTTTCTTCCTCATATTTTAGTTTTATCTGGATCACCTTACTGGTCTATAGATATTGTAACCTTACCAAATCATTATTCTCGAAAGTACAGTGGTCACAAAGTGCTGCAGCACCAGCAAACCCCATTCTCCTCTTTATATGACTAACTTTTCAGCCCTCAAAGCCCTGACCCCCTCCTGTTACCCTAACCATCTGAAATTCTTTTGACCATGCCACTTTCTCTTATAATCAATTGCTGATCTTGGAATAATTTTCCCTTGTATATACTCCCTTGAATATTAAGAAATTATCTCATTCAGAAGGAAGAAGGTTCTGAAGGTTCTGGAATAGCTCTTCTTCTGGTGCTTTGCTTTCTGGTATCGGGCTGACTACTTCCTGGAGTCTTTGCGAATACACAAGAGTCAGCAGGAGGGCCTAGGCAGCCTCTGTTCAACTCTAAAACAGAGACAGTCAAGTGTCCAGGCCTACCAAAAGATGGTCTTCAGACAACAGTGTCCTTGAAGATTGGTTCAAAGTCACAACAAATTCACAGAATTTGATATACAGCATTTGTCAATACCCCTAACAACACCTACTATACTGACGTACAACCGTCATCATCAGAACCACAAAATAAATACTACTACTCTCAAGCTCTGTAACTTTAATTAAGGTACTTCAACTCTGTGTGCCTCAATTTTAACGTCTGTAACATGAGGATAATAATCGTACATCTCATGGGGTTAACGCGAGGATTAAACGAGTTGACGCAGGTAAAAACTCTTAGAACAGTGCCTGGCACACGGTAAGCATCTGGGAAACACCCCGAGTACAGAAGCCCTTCCTCGCCCAGCTAGAGCGGAGCGGAATGAAACTCTGAGATTTTCCATTTCCCAGGGGTTCACCGGAGAACACCACCTGCTGTCACTGCAGCTAAGGGACTAGGTTGTGCCCACCCGCAAGGCGAACGCTGGGCGCCGCGCAGAGACACCGCGCCGCGCAGAGACACCGTGCCGCGTCCCAGCCGCGGAGGCACCTCTCGGCCGGATCTGCGGCCAGACCACCCTTGGACCTCTAGCTGGTCTCCCCGCGAAAGAGTTGCGTGTTTCCGCACGACCACTTCCTAGATCCTCCAGGCCCACCCGTCCAGGCCCCGGGCCCCAGAGCCCTGCGTGCCCCACTCACCGGCCGCTTCGGGGCGAGCGCCGGGACACACCCTGGACCGGACCCACGCCTAGACGGAACCTTAGTTCGCGGGGCTTGAGGAAGCCGGAAGGATTAATGGGAAACCCTTGCGTCGACGCACTGCTCCCGCGCTCACGAAGGTTCCCGAGGTCACAGACACTCTTTCACTCAGCCCCCTGGCCGTGTCC